CGCCTCAGTCAGGCTGGGGTTTGGGACGTTTTTTTTTCTTTGAATATCTTTTGTCGTTGTTGTCGTTTGTTCTTCGTCTTTCCCCCGTGGCCCCTCGCGCCCCCGCCGGCGCCTTGCGTAACGCGGCAAGTGGCAGGCGCTGCTCCTGGTTCCCGTTAATCCGTCGCCGGCCTTTTTAAGCTGCCCTATTCTGGTGCGCGGGGGTACGTCGGAGCCCGGCGAGCGGGGTGTGCGCGCGGCCTCCCGGCGTGGGGCAGGCAGCCGTGGGCCTGGGCGCGCTCCCCCTCCAACTGTTGCTGGAGAGGAGCGAAGGAGGGGGAAAGGGAAGGGAAGGATCCCGTCAAGGTTGAAAGGAGAAAGCAGCTTGAGTGAAGGGAGCCTGGGCTTTGCAAATTCATTTTCCGTCTGGACTCTCCGGAGGCAGAGGGCTGGGGAGAGCAGATGTGCGAGGAAAGGGGGATAGAGGGAAAAATGGGTTGAGGAAGTAAGGTGAGGGGGAAGCCATGAGGGTCAGGGGGGAAGCTGGCATATCGTACTTTGGAGGGGGCTTTGCAATCTTGACGCAGCTCCTGGCCCTTCTTGGCTTGGGCTAGATGCCTCCCGGTTGCCCTGCCTCACTGATCCCTGCCACTCCTCCCCTGCAGCGACAGGCTTAGGGTAACAGCACCCTCTTCCTCCTGCTTTTCCCCTTCTTTTTCCTCCCCCAGTCCTGCTTCTCCTCTGTATTTCTCACATGGGTAGTGTGTTAATTCCCATCCTTTAAATATATCAACAGCTCTATTTCCCTCCCTGACACCACACATTTTTCACTCTGATTCGCAGGTTTGGAGGTTTTTCTAGATGATATATACTTCTCTCTCCCTCTCTTTCTATGTATATTTATATGTAGCAGGGTTTTTTTTTTTTTTTTTATCCCATCCCTAAGGTCAAAATGCCTGCAAGATCTTTTCTCCCCCCCCCCTTGGCAAGCAAAGGTTCAGAGTTCGAGGGAAGCAGCAGGCAGGTTTAAAATTTAAGAGTAAACTTTGCCAATCCCATTGAAAAGAAACCCTTCTCTACCTCTGTGTGGAAGCAAAAGGGAATTTCGGCAGGTTGTTGCTTTGCAGGTGATGTGTTGCAGGTGTTTTGATCTATGCCATGAAACTAAATTGTTGTGGGATGATCTGTTCTGCAACCAACCCCATGGCATTGAAGGTGTTGTTGTTTGGGCATCAGCTATCTTTTTTTAGCAGCAAGTTTCGTATCCCCCATCCTATTTGCTCCCCTTCTGCATCCTTCTGCTTCCCTGGGCTTCACTGCAGTGGGTACTGTGCTCTGATGGGATGGTAAATACAGGTTTCTGTGGTAGCCCCAAGGAAATAACCACTGCAGAGTTTCAGCCCAGTAATGCAATCATAAAACATCTCCCCTCTCCCCCCACCCCCAAACTGTTTGTATGTGTGGGATGGAAAAATATTTGGAGCAGAGTCGTTCCTCAAGGCAAAGCTGACAAGGGAGATAATGCAACACCTTTTATTGGACCAGCAAATAATGCAGAATACCCTGTCTGAGCTTCTGGGTTCCCAAAGGTACCATAAACACCTTTAAAGGACCTAGGACTTGCGGATAAATGATCATTCTTAGCGTTTCTATAATGCTTTTCATCTGCCAAGTGCTTCACAAATGTTCAGCTCAATCCTTCTCCCCTTGAGAACCTCTTGCTGGCTTCCAGGGGGCTGGGATTCAGCATGGGGTTTAGTTCCTCTTCCCCCCTGGTGAAACAAGGAGGGAAGTAGGTATTTCTGTCTCAGTCTCACATATGAGGATGCTTATTTCCTGGCCCTGTCAGTCTCTAGCTTCTCTGTGGCCTGGCCGTACGCTTGGAAAACACTTTGACTGGCCACTCTTTCCCACAGCAGCAGCCAGTGTCCGTCAGGCTGATAATCTGCCTTTCAAATAATTTTCCTAAATAAGCACTTATGAGCTGCTTATTTAGAGGGCTTTGGGGGCGGTGGGTGGGGAGTGGATTAAAACAACTGTGGGTTTGAGGGTTTTTATGGGTTGTCTTTGTTGTTTTGCTCTTTTTGTTACCAACAAATTCCACCGTGCTCACAAAGCCCAAGAGCTAGCCAACTGAGCAGAGATGGCCCTCTTCCCCACTCCCCTGAGCCTGTCTCCAGCCACAAGGATGAGAGAGAAGCTGACTCGAGATGGGAAACTCCATTCTTTAGTCACCCCCAAGTACAGAAGGGTGAAATCAGATCTCTCTGGGATGTAAATATGTAGGCATGGGGGCTTGCCAAAGAGCAGAGTCTGAACGTGAGCCTTACATTTCCTAGGCTTTTCTTAGCTTTGCTGCAGCCCTAGAGGTTGCTTGAATGCAGTTTTCTGGTAGTTCAGTTTTGTCTGGTCTGGGTTCCCCGCCCCTTTCATTCCTCTGCTTTGCCACTATTGCTCTTATTATGGTTTTGCTTTTTCTATTTAATTTATTCTCTGCTTCTGACAGCCTTCTCCCATCACCTCCTCCCCTTCTGGCAAAAAAATTTGGTTTGATTGTAACAATAAATTGGCTTCTAACTTCAAAAAATACAACTGGCATGTATTTAACTCTTTATATGGCAGGGGGCAACGCATTTTATGCTTGGTAGGGCATACCTTGCTCCTGGGAGATGAATTGAGTACATACATGCTGCATTGATGGGTGAGGCATGGATGGAGATAGCTAGTTTTTCAGAGCAGACTGTGCTGTGTACAGTGCTTGCAACAGTGTAGCTCTGGAAAGGAATTAAGATTAAGGAAACTAGTAGATTTAGTCCCTGATTGAGATCTCTAGGCACTGTTTTTAGTACAAATCAAGAATAATGGAGTTAAATAATACTGAGCCTATTCTACCTGTTGGGGAAACAAGGGGAGACATTAAGGGACTTGGTCAGGGCCATATAGTGAGTCTGTGGCAGGGGTTGGAATTGAATTAGAGAATCCTGATGCCTTCCTTCACCTGCCACTGCTTTGATCGCTGTGATCACGTTTACTCCTTCAATTTTAAAAGTGTCT